CTTGAACTCACGAACCACGAGTTCATGACCTGAGCTGAAGTCAGCTGCTAACCGACTGAGCCACCCAGGCGCCCCTGGATTTTTTAAGAAATGACTCCTGATGACACCAAAAGCAGGAACAATAACAATTTTTTTTATTTTCTATATTTTTTTAGTAAAATTTTTTAAAATGATAAAATGGAGTTGATCAAAATTTAAAACTTTTTCTCTTTAAAAGAGACCATTAAAAACATGAAAAGACAAACCACAGACTGGGAGAAAATATTTGTAAAACCTATATCTATAAAGAACTTATACTCAGGATATATAAAGAATTCCTACAATTGAATGATAAGAAGACAACTTAATTAAAATAATTGTCAAAAATAGGCAAGAGTTAGTCATTTGGAAAATGCAAACTAAGGCCACAACATACCATTATGTACTCACTACACAGGAGAAAATAAAAAAGACTGACAATTCCAAGAGTTGGTGAGGATTTGGAGAAACTGGAACCCACACACATTACTGATGGAAATGTAATGTGATAGAGCTGCTTTGAAGAACAGTTTTTTCTAAAGTTAAACATGTACTTCCTAAATGACCCAGCATTCCCACTCACAAGTATCTACCTAACAGGAATGGAAAGATATGTCCACACCAAGACATGCATGTGAACATTCATAGAAACATTATTCGTAGTAGACCCAAACTGGAAACAATATGCTGTCCATCAGCTCCTGGATGGGTAAATAAATGTAGTATATCCATACAACAGAATGCTACTCAGCAGTGAAAGAGAATAAAGTATCGATACATATATGGAAAAATCTAAAACCATTATGCTAAGTGAAAGACACTGGACACATAAGACCACATATTATATGATTCCATTTATATGAAATGTCTGAAGGAGACACAACCATAGAGATAGAAAATGGATCATTGGTTGCTAAGGCTGGAGGTGGGAATAGGGATTGATTGCAGACCAGCATGAGGGTTTTATTTGTTTCTCTGTTTTTGGCATGATAGAAGTACTCCCGGGGCTCCTGGCTCACTTAGTTGGTAGAGCACGTGACTCTTGATCTCAGAGTTATGGGTTTGATTACCTAAGATTACTTAAAAATAAATTTTTAAAACATAAAAATAAAATCTTTAAAAAAAATGAAGAGAAGTTCTCCAAAACTGGATGGTGATGATGTTTGTACAACTCTATAAATTTACTAAAACTCATTGAATTGGACAAAAGATAGATGAGTTAATGGTTTGTAAATTAGATGCTAACAAACTTGTTAAAGATTGTTTTTTATGTATACATAGTCTCTGTATTTTTTTAACTGAACTATTTAGTCCATTTATTCTTCTTGTAATTACAGATATATTTGGATTTTTTCCTATCATTTTATATTCTATATGTTCTACCTTTCTTATATTTCTTTTCCTCCTCCTTTCTTGCCTTCCTTTGGTTTATTTTCTTTTTCCTAATTCCATATTTCTCTCTCTGTTAACCTGGAAGTGGTATATTCTACTGTTGTCTTATAATGGTTACCCTGGAAATGTCAACATGCATACTTACAAATCAAAGTCTACAGTTAATAGCTTTGCCCTTTTCTTGAATGACATAAGGAATTTAGAGCACATTAATTATAGTAACTCCCTGCTTATATGTATTGCTAAAGTTGCAATTTTTAACCCCATAAGACATTTTTATTATTTTACAAAGTCAATAGTTATTTAATTACCCACATATTTTTTGCTGTCGTTCTTTATTACATGTCAAACTCTTCATCCATATTTTTCTCAAAAATTTTTTTGTAACAAAACGCAGTATATTGTAGTGGTTAGCAGCATGGCTTCCAGAGCCAAACTGTTTTACTTTTTATACCGCTTTTTATTTCTGCTTTAAACTGAGGCAGAGGGCTACCCAGTAACATGCTTAGGGTCACATCTAGTAAGTTGTAGGGGCAGGATTTGTACCCACTAATTCCTTATATTTAAACCCAATAGCACCCCCTCTACTGTGGGGGGCTTGTAAAAAACCATGGTCCAAGAAACATGTTGGTGGCACAATAGGCCAGAGCCCTTGTCGACTGTCAGCAAACTTACATGTAGGTTCAAATTCCTCCCACATCTTAAGGTTCATGAAGTTCATAAAGAACTCTTCTGTAAAGATTAACCTTACAAGCAAATCAGAGGTGACTTGAATTTCAGCCTTATGAATACTTATAAAATCAATTTCTCTGTGTTTCTTGCATATTTATTATTTTTCTTCAGGTAATTGGAACTGTCTTGCAGAATTTATAGGAAAAGACTCCTTCCATAAAAATCCAATTCTGTTTCTGGACTCTCTCCACCTTGCTTCACTTGTTCCTGGGCAGAGCGATAGTAAACCCTTGCTGTATAAAGCAGATCACTGATTTTTCCCCAATATAAAGTCACTTAGATGTTGGTAAGCCTCAGGAGAAACTGTCTGATGAAATTGTTGGATGCTAGATAGATTTTGAAACCATCTCTGGTGAAGATGGTCCTTTCAGAAGAGTGGTTAGGACAGAACAGTCTTCTAGGTCTTCTAGGTTCTCTACCATCTCTGTAAGTCTATCTACTGTATCACAGGACAGCACGCTGGAAGCATTGGCTCTGAACTTCTCCCGTAGGTCCTCCTGGCTCAATGGCTTCCTCCAATGGCCATAGAAGGTATCAGAGCGCTCTGTGAAGGTGGCTCCATCATCGAGAGTGACACTTATCTCACAGTATAGTGTGTTGAAGCTTGGCAGGTTGTCTTGAGGGTGCTCCAGCTCCACCTTACTGAGCAACTCCCTCACCTGTGGCCTGTTGATCTGGCATTTGTGGAATGATGGGACAGTGATGCCGCCATCAAGCAGTGTGGCACAGGCCACAAACTGGAAGGAATGACGAGCCTCATGCTCTGAGTCTGGGAAGGGCCTGTTTACATACTGGACATCTGGAATTCTGAGCACAATTCTTGCAATGCGGTCAATGGGAAGCAGGTCTCTGTCTGTTACAAGGTGCTTTCTCACAGATGCAGCTGCGTCTGCCACCCAGTGGGTGGCCAAATGTGCAGGGAACCGCTTGAAGGCCACATCCTGCTGGTCCAGCAGCCAAGTGTGGGAATCTAGGTTTGGAAGAACTTTTGGGGAATAGTTGGCATAGAAGGCCCCAAACCCTGTCTGCATGTCCAAGATTTGTCTGTTTCCTTGGAGACCCAGCATTGCCAGAAAAGCGGCTTCCATCCCATGCCTGGCAGCATTGCCGATATGAAGAGGCTTGGTCTGAGTGGCAGCGTTTGCTATGGGTGCCCCGGCATGAGAAACAGCAATAGCCAGGGCCTCTCGGCACTTTGTCATGCTGAGCCCCAAAAACTTGGATGTAGCAGCAGCACTACCCAAGGTTCCTACCACTGAGGGGGGATGGAATCTGGAAAGCAAAAAAGCAAAGAGTTGGAGATTTACAGACCTCAGTCAGTAGGAGGCAGTATGGTATGATAGTTGGGAATGTAGACAATAGAGCCCTGCTGCCTGGGTTCAAATCTCAGCTCTACTACGTACGGGCTGTGTGATCTTGGGAAAGTTATTCAACTTGTCTGTACCTGTTTCCTCTTACATAACATGGTGACAATAATATGTGTCTCATAGGGTTTTGTGAGTTTTGAATGAATTCACATACTTCCATCAGTGCCTGACACAATAAATTCTTTATAGTTATTGCCAGAAAGGCAAAAGTTGCTGCTTGCTGAAATCCCATGTAAGTAGCTATAAAAATGGAGGGCCTTGCAGAAATTGAAAGTTCGCCCGGTATTCCAATCTACTCCTCTGCTAGCAGGCTGGATCAAGTGGAAAAATAAATATAAGATTGAATCACATGATATAGCCAGCATGTGACTATTTTTGCTCTATGGGTTGAACAGTCAGGTTCAGGATCTTCTGAATGTTCTCAATCTGAAGGACCTCAGCAAATATCAAAGTAGATTCTGCTCTGAGATGAGACTAGGAATATTCAGAGTACCTTGGGTGCCAAAATGATGTGAATCGCCCTAGGATGAGAGGCCCCAATTTATTTTATGGTTGTGGTTAGTTGATTCTCTAAACCCAAATGGGATTTTTCATTATTTCTTCTGGGGTCATACCTTAGTATATGGATATATGGTTTGCTGTGTGGCTGGAGAATTGACTTAGCTCTCAGCACTAATGTTAATATCTCCAGCTGATCTAACTCACCTCTATGTCAGAAAGCTCTACAGAAAGAACAGTGGACAAGTCAAGGGGGAATGCATCCACCTCTGGATGGGGCAGATTCTCTCCCTACCTCTTTGGTATGTCATTGGCTTCCTTGGAGAAACGCAGTAATTGGCCTTGCACTTCAATCCCAACATTGAAAGCTAAGAGCAGATCAAGGCCAGAACACTTTGGACTTGGAGGCAGAGCTTCTGATAAAGCCAGCAGGACAGGAAGGACCGCTCCAGAAGGGTGGGTGGCAGGATGCCATGTATCATCAAAATCCATTGAGTGAATCTATGTAAACATACACACACAAACAACAACCAAAAACCAAATTAGATTTACCTGAATGCAATGGCTTTTGGACCAGTAAGGGTTTAATTTAGTAATAACTCTATTTGATATGAGATTTTTAGCTCTGATTATCTGAAAATAAAACCTGTAAACCGGCTGTAATTCTTAATCATATGGCGGGGTACTGGATGTGCTGTCCTCTGCTTAGAGCAGGCAGGACTTTAGGGAGCAGCTAGAGAGCCCCAGTGAGCTTGGCTCTTACCCAGGTAACCAGAGCTCTCTGCCACAGCACCCGGAAAGAGTGCTTAAAAACAAAGCTGTGAAGTAGGGGGCTGTTCCTCTCTTCCTCCCCCACCCTCCAGACAAGTTGCACTGAAAGTTTAATGCCATTTATTCCATATCAGGCCATATATTTTTGTACCTTTTTGTTATGAAATAATTTCAAACTTACAGGGAAGTTGCAAGAACTCTCAAACCCAGATTAACTATTAAGGTATATTTTAAAATCATTATTTTCTGCTATGAGGTTTTATTCCTCTTCATCCTAGCCATTTGCTTATCCCTGATATGAAATAGTAATAGCCAGAAGTTCACTTAAAAATCGATTTCCGGGGCGCCTGGGTGGCGCAGTCGGTTAAGCGTCCGACTTCAACCAGGTCACGATCTCACGGTCCGTGAGTTCGAGCCCCGCGTCAGGCTCTGGGCTGTTGGCTCGGAGCCTGGAGCCTGTTTCCGATTCTGTGTCTCCCTCTCTCTCTGCCCCTCCCCCGTTCATGCTCTGTCTCTCTCTGTCCCAAAAATAAATAAAAAAACGTTGAAAAAAAAATCGATTTCCATGTCTCTTGGATGTGGCTGATCTGGACACTGCTTGCTGGACATTTACTCTGGGATACACTATTGCGTTTGCCTTTCAGTATTCTAAACTACTGTCCCACAAAACATAAAACTATCTCAGACATCCCAACACATTCATGTCTAAATTATATCTTGTATATAGATACAGACTGCTGCTGACACACAGACAAAGCATAAACATTGTCAGATGAAAAGTGCTGATTTTTGCTTCAGAAAATATAGACACCATATGGCCACTGTTTCTTTCTCAGTAAATATCTGTTGAATGAAAGGATGGATGAAAAGCTGGTTACTGAATAAGAACTGGTAGTGGCCACAACAAAAGGAATTGAGTCTGGATAGCGGGTTTTATATTTTTTGCTATAGATGTTCAAAGTTAGATACCATAAGGGTATTTTTATCTAAATCCTCCAACTGATTTCCTTTCTTTCACAATGTGTTTGAAAAGCGTCAGTTCACTGTAAAGCATCAATAACTACATAGAAGAGAGGGCCGACCACTTTATCTCTCTGAACCTCAATGACTTATCAGTGAAACATGGAAATTGAGCAATTTCTGAGATATTTCCTGGCTCTGAAATTATTATGATTGCCTAAAATTAGAAAAGATGTAAACCTCCTTACAGCCACACCGTTCACAAAAGCAGCATATGTCGGCGGGAGCCTTAAGTCTGGCTGACCCCAAACAGTGCTGGCCACATTGGAACTGTAGATCTGAAAGAAAGGAATATCAATCAGTAAGACAGAGTGGAAACATGGCATGCCAAGTCACCATTTTAAGAGCCATTCCTCATCGTGGAGGCATGACTTTAAGAGTCCTTATTTGAAAACTTCGTGCTAGATGGCAGCCTTCACCATTGGATTCCTCTCTTCCTTGTAGAAGAATACACAACTTTGTCCATGGAAGGGAGAGGAGATGCTGTTGCTCTATCCCAGACTGTGATCCACAGGTGCTCTAGTGGATGGAGTCTGAATTTACTCTTATTTATTCCTTGAGGGTAAATACTGGCGAAGGTGGACTAATTGTGGAGAGTGGGTATCACGTCTACCGCATAAGCACCCACTCTCTGCTCAGAGTGCCGAACCAGCTTTTTTCCCAAGAGACTCTTAAAGTCTTTGCACGAATGAATGGTAGGTACTATTGGGGTAGATGTTATTGCTTCTAGGACTCTCGGGTAAAAAGTGCTTTATGTCATAATATCAATAAATTATGTGATATTGCTAGTGTTAAAACTAGTCTTAAGATTGGTCTTTAGATAGTAACTTAGCAAAAAATATGGATGAATATTAAAACTCAGATAAATAGAGCATAGAAAAGCATAAAGCCATATACAACAATGCTATACACACCAAGTAATATCTCTAAAATGAAGAGTAGAGTAGTAGTAGCACATGAGCACACATCTCTGGGCACGTTGGTGGGTATGACTCACGAGCAGGCATATGTGTACACTTGGTTTTACCTCTCAAGTAGACGCTGAACTTCTTACCTTACTATATTCACTGACTTTGCGAAACACTTCTGTATTGGTTCCCAGGAAGCCGACACCCAGGGTATCCAGAATCATTCTTTTGCTTCTCTGAATGACGTGGTCTGTCAGGTGCTCCACTGTCAAGCCATGGATCACTCTGGCAAAGCTTTCTGTGACAGACTTTAAAGGGAAGAGTGTTAGAACAGTGCTGTACTCACTTTGCATTTGCCCATTCCTTGCTATACAAGAGCCTGAGGTACTATTATGTGAAGAGTTTCGCTTCACAAGGAGAAACTCAGGTGATCAACTTAAGTTCCGTTCCTGAAGACTGATGAGTACTGAGCCCCTGTACTGGGTGTGTGAGGCAAAGAGATGTGGGAGTGCACAATATCCAGTTTCCGTCCTCAGTCCAGCCGAGAACACAGACTAACATGCAGATGATGGTCACAGAGTGGGTAGGCTATGGAGGAGGGAAGCACAGAGTTAGGAGAGGATGGGAGAGACATCTCATCCATAAAGTGGGCATGCCTGAGTGGGGGGCAGTGCATTCAGCTAGGAGCTGCCGTTATTAGATACATGCCAGGCATCATCCTGCCTGTTGTAAATACAGTATCCATTTAATGCCACGAGTTTCTGGGTAGGTATTATGAGCGCCACTCGCTTTGCAGGTGTAGAGACCCAGATGTGGAAAGGTGACATCACTAAGTTCCACAGCTCTTAGGTGGTAGAGTTTGGACACAAATTTCTCTGGGTCTAACTCCAAAACTGAGCATGTAATTATTAAGCCACATTTCCTAAAGAGGAAAACAAACCTCGAAGCACCTGGGGTTCTTGTTGAAAATGAACATTCTAGTCCCTACTCCAGACCTCCAGAATTATCCTACCCCTTACCCCCAGATGAAACAGAAGCTTTGCAGGCATAGCACAGGATTCTGTGTTTTCATTAAAATCTTTAGGTGATTCTTAAATGTTCTAGTGCTATTATGTCCAACGTGGTAGCTACTCTCCACATTGGCTATTGAGCATTTGAAATGTGGCTGGTCCAAACTGGGATGTGTCATGAGAGTAAAATAAACACTGGGTTTTGAAGACTTAGTAGGAAAAGAGGAATATAAAGCATCTCATTAATAATTTTAAAATATTACATGCTAAGATGATAATATTTAGGATATATTGGTAAATGAAATATATTTTTTTTATTAAAAATTTTTTAAGGTTTATTCATTTTTCAGAGACAGGGAGAGCATGAGTGGGGGAGGGGCAGAGAGAGAGGGAGACACAGAATCTGAAGCAGTTTCCAGGCTCTGAGCTGTCAGCACAGAGCCCGACATGGGGCCCAAACTCACAGACGGTGAGATCATGACCTGAGCTGAAGTCGGATGCTCAACCGACTGAGAACGACTTGAGAACGACTTCCCATTCATTCTTGTTGATGGAGATTACCTGAAGGCATGGATACCTGGGCTGGCTATGAACACTTAAGGGAGTCAGCAGGTGAAGGGGCCTGGGACAAGGGTGGAGGTTAAAGGCAGAGGTGCAGCATGGGCGGGGCTTGGAGATGTGAGAGGATGCAGTGATTTGGGCCAACCCCAGCTTCAGAGCTTCATGCAGGGGCGGAGGTGAGAGGGATTCGCAGACTTGGACCAAGCTGGGGAGGTTCCACTATGCTGAAGACTTCCTGTCAAAGGGGCGCCATAGTGCTGTCTTTAAAAAGGTAGATGTGATCAGAACTGTGTTTTGCAAAGCTCTCTCGTGTAGTCTGTCATGTAGAGAATGGGTCGAGGGGTAGACAAGGGCAGGTAAGAGACTGCTGCAATAGCCCGGGTTCGGGATGGGGATATGGCAGTGCCATTTGCCAAGAGAGGGAGCACAGGAAGAGGAACAGCTGAACAATGATAATGGGCTCACTGTGAACTTGCTGAATATGAAGTGCCTGCTGAATATGGTCATCCTAGCGGAGAAGACCATTCTGCTTCCACCCACAAACCAGATAATAAAAACCCGCAGACTTATTTGCATTTCATAAGCAGCAGAGTACTTTGCAATTCCTTTAAATATCAAGTTCTTCAATGTGTAGGCAATTATTTTGTGTTCTACACATCTGCATAAGAGAACATCTATTATGTATAGCTAAAAGCATCCACTCTTCAACTGTGTTTCCCTACATGCCTAGCGCTTAGTACTGCCTAGTAAATGCCAGGTGGTTTCCCTTTTCTGCTCTGAGTATTGTATCATTGTACAACCTCCTTGGTCTCTCTGAGCATTAGATATGTCAGTTTATTTATTTATTTATTTGTTTGTTTATTTATTTATTTTAAAGTTTATTTATTTATATTGAGAGAGAGAGCAAGCAAGTGGGGAAGGAGCAGAGGGAGAGGGAGAATCCCAAGCAAGCTCTGCACTGTCAGCGCAGAGCCTGATACAGGCCTCGAACTCACAGACCCTGAGATCACGACCTGCTGAAACCAAGAGTCAGACACTCAACAGACTGAGCCACCCAGGTGCTCCCAGATACCTCATTTTAAAACATTAGCTATAGGGTAAGGAGTTTCTGAATTGGAAGATCCGGGGTGTCTAAGAATAGTGCCTGCACGGAGGTACAGAGATGGATCCAGTGCCCAGCTACAAGTCCTCAACCTGGCCACCAGCTAGTCCCATATTTTCAGTCTTCAGATGCTCGAGTCATGGAAACCCTGCCTTTTTCAAAAGGATGGACTACATTGTATGTCTCTGAAGCTCTGGTAGAAAGGTGAGGGAGTCTGGGGTGGGAGAGAGCAGGAGAGAACATGAATGGGAGAGAGAGGGTGCTGGCACAGGTGTTTCTAATTAGGATGGAGAATAACAATAACTTTGTCATGCTGCTAGAAATTTGGGTAAACATATTTAGGGGCAGAGGGAGGCAAGGAGGAAAAAGCCCTGGCTTGATGATCCACCAAGTAAAACTTGGAGTTTTGAGAACTGGTTGGACCCCTTTTCTAAGCCAAATGACCTTATTTTTCAATGTCTCTTTCCATTCCCACAGCTCCCACAGTTAAGGGCGTTTGGTGATTGGTTGTTTACCTCTTCAGGGTTAGATCTGACCTGGGAGTGCGTTATGGGGAAAGCTGTATGCCTAGGGAGGATTTGTTGTCGGGGCTCCAACATGGCACCTGGAAGGTGACTGTGGCATCCATTTGCATGTTCCCATGGTGCTGGTGACCTATGCAGGTAGGACCCCATGGGGATTCCCTGACAAGTTCTGAATAACACCCTGTGTGCCAAAGAAATGGCTCCTGAGGAAGGGAGCATGAGAAAATAAACATGCAACTGCCCCACTGTCTGTAGTCCATGTATTTCTAAAATACTTCTTTTGGTCTTCCTGATTTTCTCATGACATTTACATTTCTTTTCAATAACATGCTGTGATTAATGTATATATTAAGACAAAACATGCAACCATTTGATAAATATTTCATGACATCTTACTCTGTGTCTGGCACTGTGCTAAGCTCTCTAGAATACTAAACCAAGATGTTACGATTCCTGCCACAATAGGATTATCTTCTCCAGGAAACTAAGGACAGTAAACAGATCATTACAAAGGCAATCTGGCCATGCCATAATGGATATAGACAAGACTGGGAGGTTACAATTCAATGAACTTGCAATGATTCGTTTTCTTCCTAATTGTATGCAACAGAATCATGTCTCTTACTGGTAAAACACTGATGAAAAACAAGATGCAGTTAATTAAATAGCGCAGAGGCATGAGAAATGTTAAAATGCCATTTTTTGAAGAAGAAGCAGGAAGCTCTAAGGAAATTGAGAAAAGGAGAGGTAAGCTAGAAAACCGATTTAAATAAGCACATAAAATATAACAATACCTTGAGCATCGTGTGTTGAAAGAGGAGGCTTATCTCAGGAGTGAACTGGAGGAGTAATTCACTTGCTAGGTGACTCCCTTTATACCCTTCATTCTTTCCAGCCCATTCTCTTTCACTTCATTCTGACGCTAAAGTTTCCATGATTTCAACACCTCCCAAGTACGATTACTTCCACTTCCTCTCAATGAGTTGTTTAACCCAACTGGAGATGAGGAATTAGACAAGGCTGGGAAGTAATGTACAAATGGTCAAATGATTTCTCATAGATATCAGGGAACTGAATGCATCTTGTGCTTAGATGCCATACATCAAAAGTAGAAAAATTTGCACTCTTTTATCCAGGTATTCTCACTTCTAAAAATTTATCCTAAGGAAATAGGCATGGATGTATAGAAAAAAACTTAGCAAAAAGAATTCACAGATTTGCTTATAAGATTAAAAATCAGAAACAATCAAACGTCCCCTGTGGATTCGTTAAGTAGAATATGGCATGCATAGGGGCGCCTGGGTGGCTCAGTCGGTCGAGAGACCGACTTCGGCTCAGGTCATGGCTCGTGGTTCGTGGGTTCAAGCCCTGCATCAAGCTTTGTGCTGACAGCTCAGAGCCTGGAGCCTGTTTTGGATTCTGTGTCTCCCTCTCTCTCTGCCCCTTCTCCGCTCACACTCTGTCTCTGTCTCTCTCTCAAAAATAAATAAACATTTAAAAAATTAAGAACAAAAGAATATGGCATGTACAGTGTTTAAGGCCACTCATCTTCCCCTTCCATTTCACCCCCGTCGGACACCATGGTCTAGGGACAGATGTGCCAGCCTGAGTTCCTGACAGCTTGAGATTAAGAGCCTAGAAGGGCGTTGGGAGTTAATCACACTTTTCCCCAGCTTGTTCACTTGTTTGCTCCTGCACTGCATTTTTGCATATACAGGTCTCCAATTCCTGGTTCTCTGCCTGGCTCCTGGCTTAGGATACACCTCCTGCTTCCCTGCTATTATTGCCCAAAGACGCTGGCCTGACAGCTTGTTCAGACCTCTTTGCTGATAATCAATCACTGTGGCTTGGCTAGGCTGGACCTCGCTCTGCTTCTCTGGGTAATTGTTATTTCCCTTGGGCTGTCTAGTCTTGGACAATTGGTTTATGCTCATAGTGGTACAGAAGACAGGTTAGTTAAAATCTGAGAAATTCCTAAGACCATTTTTACATGAAATGAAAAACGGGCTCTGATGACTTCAACCATCTCACCGTGGAAAAGCTTTATAAAGGAATGATGAGTTTTATCATATCTGATGAGCTTTCGCAGAAGTGCCGTCATTTAGCTTCTCTGGGCTCACATTTTGCCAGTATTTTTTTTTTTAACTGAAGGATAGTTGACGCACAATGTTACATTAGTTTCAGGTAATGTAGTGATTTGACAACTCTGTATGTTATGCTGTGCTCACCACAAGTGTAGCTACCGTCTGTTATGGGACCCTGGAGTATCTTCCCTATGCTGTACCTTTCGCCCCCCGGACTTATTCATTCCATAACTGGATGTCCGTTATCTTCCACACCCTTCTCCCATTTTGCCCATTCTCCCCACCAGTTTGTTCTCTGTATTTAGGGGTGTGTTTCTGCTTTGTTTTGTTTTAAAGATTCCACATGTAAGTGAAATCATATGGTATTTGTCTTTCTCTGACTTATTTAACTTAGTATTATACTCTCTAGTTTGATCCACGTTATTGCAAATGGCAAAATCTCATTCTTTTTTTATGGCTGAGTAATATTCCATTATATAGAATACATATTATATGCACACACACCATATATTCTTTATACATTCATCTATTCATAGATACTTGGGCTGCTTCCACATTTTGGCTATTGTAAATAACACTGCAATAAACATAGAGGTACATGTATCTTTTTGAATTAGTGTTTTCATTTTCCTTGGTTGAAT